GAAGCAGAAAGTCAGTTTATTTTGCACAATCGGCAAACTGCAGCACCAACTGTGCACGACAGCCACCAAAAAAAAAAAAAGGGTGTATGTCACTTTAAATTTTCGATTCTTTGATAGCTGTGGCCCTGAGTAACGATTCTGTGTCCCTGAGTAACGATTCTGTGTCCCTGAGTAACGATTCTGTGGCCCTAAAGTCTCTGTGGCCCTAACTCTGTCCCTTAATACACACAGGTCTGTCTCTCTTGAATGACCGGAGGCTAATGGAGAATTCTAAGATGGCCGCGATTTATAGCTCCACCATTACACAGTGCTGGCTGCTGATTGGCTAATGCGATCACATGTCATGATTCATGACTCATGAATGCATTATGGGTCAGCGCGCCTTGTCTGCGCGCCTTCCCAGAGATCCCCGCCCCATCTTCTCTGTCCATTTTCTCCGTCGCCACACATGTCGCCGCCATTTTTGGGAAAATTCGATTCGTGCATCCGAAGTTTGCTAATCTTCGGATTCGTCGCGAATAGAATTTTTCCAAATCTTCGGAACGAATTCCATTTCGTCATGTTCGATTCGCTCATCTCTAGTGAGTATGAGTGCCATGGTCATTCTGGTGTTCCTGGTGGAGCAAACACTGCGTGCTTTTAATAAACAGGGCATTTGAGGCATAGAAGGAGGAAGTGGGGGACTTCCTGGCACTCTTCAGTCTTGCTCCATCAGTGTTAGGTAGCACCAGTCTACAAAAGAGCACAAGGAGGAGGGTTTTGGGTGCTGGTGGAGAAGAGGAAGGAGAGGCCATTTGACAATCTTGCAGCAATATGTTTCACCTCTTCCAAATGCCAGGAGTTGTGCAGTGGGGTGAGATGGTTTAGGACAATGTTGGCTTCAGTGAAATGAAGGCAAATTGACTTTTTTCATGCTGCAAAGTACCTAAATGTTTACTAATGCTGACTTTAAAATATTTCTGCTTTGTGCCTTTGACCCAATCTATGTCATTTGTTCTTTTCTGTTAAAAAGTGCCTGAAATCTTACTCTTCAAATGCGGCCTACTACTAAGTCTTCCATGATGTGCAGCACGTGCCTCTGTGATAATTCTCCTTCGTGTCTTGTGTGACATAATCCACTGTATATTTTATTTCTGGAGCCAAGTCCTCAAAACGCCTTAGCCTGTTGGATGTCCTATTTTCCTGTCGCGTGATATGAATCGTGGACTAGATTTAGCGGTTTCTATATGATGGGCTTTTGATACATTTGACATTTTGTGAGTATAATACTTACCACGTTTTATTAAATAAAAGGTGTTCCCAAACTTCCCCAGTTTTATGAGGGCAGCAAGGAGAGAGTTGTCTAAGAAATGGGTGAGAGTGTAGCCAACTGTTATCCTTGGGCCCACTCTCAAGCACAGGAGATTTTGTGTTTGTCTACTTACACAAGGCAATCCCTTTTCTGCCTAGATCTGCTGGCACTTTCTAAAGCTTATTAAATTTATAGAATATGGTATATTTGGACATCCATGGATTGGTTGGCACTTTTTAAAGCTTACTTACTGTCCTTTTTTGCATTCTAATCCTATAGTGTTTGCTATTTGTTTTAAATAAAGCATAACTTTCAAAAGAAAGCTGACATTTAGCTGAATTCAGTGATAATGCTTTTATGTGATGCAAATTAGTTAAAGCCATAATAATATAGCAAAGTGACAAGCAGCTGTAGCAAACTATGAAAGTAAGCAGATGCCATATTCCTGGTGTGTGGTTTCCTTTTTCTTTTATCAAATCAGATATGGCCTCTTCCTAGCACTTTCCTCCAGTCACAAAGAAATTAATAATATCCTCCTGGTTGCCGACTGAATGTAATTTTCCTGGGGGATGGAAGCTTGAGATGTTAAAAGAAGGTGTTTATCAGCAGATGTGATTATATCAGTGTGTGGAGGAAAACACAAAACACTGTACACCCACAGAATGAGTGACGGGCCAACTATTGTATTCACTATAGATCTGATATATAGCCTGCTCACTATATTCATCACTGTCCAAGCTTTGTCTATCTGATCAGTGTCCTGTCTATATTTACAATCATGGCATGAAGGCCCACAGGATATTTCACCTTTAGTCTCTTAACAATAAAGTGGACCTGTTCACATTGAAAATGGTTGTATTACACAGGAGCCCAGGTAAGATTAATTATTGTCTAATATATTCATATAGCAAGTATCCTGTTGAATATCTAGAATAAATCATTACATTTTTAAATACATTAATGCAGGGAGAGATCAGCTGACAGACCAGTACATTGTCTTGGAAAATCCAATTCTCTCTGGGCTCATTAATAAAATGGTATCAATTTTGCCACTCTACAGAGATAGTATTTATAAAAAGATATTAAAGCACATAATTTAAGCAGCTTGTGTGGGAAGCACAGGCAAGCCTGCTTATCACATCACAATTCATGATAAAGTTATGGTACTAAACCATTTAAAGCAACTAACTAGTTTTCCCATCAAAACATTTAGAAAATCAGGTTAAAAAATACCCTGCATGGTTAGTTTCATCAGCTATACAGGTATTGTACTGCTGTGAAGTAAACAAGAAACTCCTTTTTAATAATAAGGGACCTATTTATAAAATATCCACCAGACAAGTCACTGAATAAATAATTAACAGATATATTCACCCAAGCAATTCAACCAGATTCGCCTTGCATTCCACAGTCTTGTTTATGCTATTTACAATAGAATGAATACGCAGCTGTTGAATCTTACATATATGGTATTACTTACACTGTGATAGTGGGGGATTGTTAGCTCAGTGGTAGAAGCATTTTCAGTGAATCCATACCAGTTCAAACTGAACATTTCAGGCTTTTCAGCCCACTTTTATTAAACAAATTACAGTTCAGTAGAAAACAATTTCCCACGCAGGGGATTTTCACCATCAAACATAGTATTATTACTATTATTATAATTATTATTACTACTACTACTACAGGTACTTATATGGCGCATCAATCTATTCAGCGGTTTGCACAGATATATCGTACAGTCACATCAGTCCCTTACCCTCAAGGAGCTTACAATCTAAAGTCCCTAATTGCATTCATACGTATGCATACTAGGGCCAATTTAGACAGTAGCCAATGAACCACCAGCATACTTCCGCCTGGCAGTACTAGGGTCGTTGGTTCAAATCCCAGCCATGCCACCACCTGTCTAAAGTTTGCATGTTCTCCCTGTGTCTGCGTGGGTTTCCTCCAGTTATTCCGGTTTCCTCCCACACTCCAAAGACATGCTGGTAGGTTAATTGGCTCCTGTCTAAATTGGTCCTAGTATGTGTATGTATGAATGTGAGTGAGGGACCTTAGATTGTACACCCCTTGAGGGTTAGGGACTGATGTGAATGTACAAAATATACATATATGTAAAGCGCTGCATAAATTGACGGAGCTATATAAGTACCTGAAATAAATAAATAAATATTTTTGGAATGTGGGAGGAAACTGAAGTACCCAGAGGAAACCCATGCAGGCACAAAGAGAACATACAAACTCCAGGCAGATAGGGTCATGTAATAAAAAATACCGAATTACCTGGCTCCCAGCACCCTAATGCATAAGCCCATTCCCTGGCCTCTCAATAATTGAAACCTCAAAACCTCCCCTGGACTTGCCTAGTTGTTCTGACTCTCTGTCTCCCAAGCTTGCTTTGCTGCCTTGACTCTCTCAGCTCCATGGACATGGAACCTTTTCACCAACATGGACTGCTGTCACTTAAGTAGAACATCTCCTAGGGGGAGCCCACACTTGTCCCCTGATGGGAGTACTCGTGTCTCCTGAAGCCAGGGCTGTGCTCACTCACAGTCTACAGTTCCCAGGGGCGGACTGACCATTTGGAAACTCGGGCACTGCCCAAGGGCCCGGGGTCAGTAGGGGGGCCCCATGAGATGCCCCTGGTACCTTTTTCATAGGCTCTTTTGAGTTTGGGCAAGGACACAGGGGCCCCATAATCCCCTATTTCCCAGGGGCCCCATGAGTTGTCAGTCCGCCCCTGACAGTTCCCCAGTAATCTGGAAACAGTATTGAAGGTTGTATCCTTTTCAAGACTCTATGGGGCTTATTTACTAAGAATAAGATGAAACAACAGTTGCTAAACATTCAACTTCACCCAATTAAGACAATTAAGACCTTGCAGTGGCAAACAGAAAACGAAAATCTCAGAGGCAAACAACCATTAGTAAATGTCAGATTAGAATAGTCGCGGTTGCATAAGAAGTAATGCCGAACCTGGTTACTAGGTAGTGCAAGAGAGCAGGCTTTGTTCGCGATCATGTTTATTTGAAAGCAAAACAAAAAAATTGTCAGGTACTTTTTTGTTTGTATCTTTTGCTGCTATTCTTGTTGTCTCTATTAATTTTTTTTACTCTTTTTGTTAAAAATATGTTCTGCAAATTAATGCATTTCTTAAAGAATATTACAGAGTAATACATACTATGAAATAATGTAATGTACTAATACTAATGTAAGATATGTTGAAAAATTATATGACAAATCATTTTAATGTCTAATTAGAATTTTAACTTATAATTATATATATCTTCATTCTTTAAACATGGTACTTAGTGGTACCATGACCAGGCAAAACTCTGGTCAGTACAGTGGCTTAGTGGTTAGCACTCCTGCCTTACAGCAATTGGGTCTTGGGTTCCAATTCCAGCCATAGCACCACCTGTCTGGAGTTTCCATGCTTTCTCTGTGCATGTGTGGGTTTCTGGCCACACTCCAAAGACATGCTGGTAGGTTAATTGGCCCTAGTATATGTATGAATGTCATAATAAAAGTGCTGTGCTATGTGACTGAAACTCAACAACCTTCAATTCATATGTAATCTGATACAGTAGCCCATAAGTGTTGCTACACAGCAAAACAATATAAATGTGCAATATTAACCTCCTCCCGCCCACCATATAAGGACATGACGGATGGTGGTTTCCGATCACTGTAAAGAGCAGATGACATCAGCTCTGTCATGTGATCAGTTGTTTCCAATCACAGCTGATCACATGTAAATAGGAAATGCCGGTTATCGGCAGTCCTCTCCTCATGCTGCCAGCTCGTGAGGAGAGGAGAGACGGCAGTTGGCATTCCTCAGAGGGGACATCTACACTAATCATCAGGGCACTGATGATCAGTGCCCTGATGATCAGTGTAGCTCCATCAGTGCCACCTGTCAGTGTCTATCAGTGCCCATCAGAGCTGCCTTTCAGTGCCGCCTGTCAGTGATGCCTATCAGTGTCGCCAATCAGTTCCTGTCAGTGCCACCTAACAGTTCCAATCAGTGCCAGTTAGTGCCACCTATCAGTGCCATATTTGAGTGTTGCCTTTCAGTGCCCACAAGTGATGCCTGTCAATGCCCATCAGTGCCACCTATCAGTGCCCATCACTGCAGCCTCATTAGCACACATTAGTGAATTACTTATTTTAAAAAATTGTATAACAGAAACTATGAAAACTTTTTTTTCAATATTTTCAGTCTTTTTTAGTTTGTTTAGCAAAAATTAAAAACCTAGTGGTGATTAAATATCACCAAAAGAAAGATCTATTTGTCTCAAAAAAATGATACAAATTTTGTTTAGGTACAGTGTTGCATGACCACGCAATTGTCATTCTAACTGTGATAGTGCTGAAAGCTGAAAAGTGGCCTTGGCAGGAAGGGGGTAAAAGTGATAGGCAAGTGGTTAAAAAATAAATAACTCAAATTAGTCCAAGTGGGTAAGAAGAAAGTCCTTAATCAAATATCTTTCACTGAAAAGAGTGCTCCGTAGTATAAAAGCTGCACCCACAATTAGTATGAACTGCAGTCATAAATAGAGTGAAGTGACATCCCAATGTGGAAATAAGACATCTGTGAAATCCTTCACCACTATGCACTCACCAGAACTAAAGTAAAACAGGCTTGTAGCAAAAATCCTCCAAGGTATGCATATCTCCTCTGCAGAAGGGCTGATATGCTATCTTTCAGTGATGTGTCCTAGAAAGGAGAGCTCACCACACAGAGACCAAAACAAAGGTATACAGCATAGTATTATATGGACTTAATTAACCACTTGCCCTCCTGAGGATTTACCCCCCTTAATGACCAGGCCTCTTTTTGCTACTTGGCGCTGCACTAATTCAACTGATAATTGCGCGGTCATGCAATGCTGCACCCAAACAAAATTTACGTCCTTTTTCCACACAAATAGAGCTTTCTTTCGGTGGTATTTGATCACCTGTGCGCTTTTTATTTTTCACGCTATAAACAAAAAAAGACCAAAAATTTTGAAGAAAAACGATATTTTTTTTTACTTTCAGCTATAAAAAATATATAGTAAACTCAAAGTTGGTTATAAATTTAGGCCAAAATGTATTCTGCTACATGTTTTTGGTAAAAAAAAAAATCCCAATAAGTGTATATTGATTGCTTTGTGTGAACGTTATAGCGTCTACAAACTATGGTATAGATCAGGGGTGGCGAACAAGTTAGACACAAAGAGCCAAAATTTTAAACTGTGAAAGTCAGAGAGCCACACCACGCAGTGACCTGCCAAAACAGACAAACACTCACACAAAAACACATAATTAAAACCATATTATTCACCATAACACTTTCTTCCCCTTACAAAACACAGGGATGACCAGAGACTGCGGACAGCACAGGGATGACCAGAGACTGCGGACAGTACAGATGACTGCTGACCTTTGGGGAGGTGGGGAGTGGGTACCTGAATTTGACAGGTACCCGCTCTTGCTTCCGCAGAGTTTTTGTTTGATCTTACCTGTTCCTCGATCGAGCCGCGCGCTGTCTTCCCGGATTCTGTAATGGCGCTCAGCATGACAGCCGGGTGCCCTGTGCGCATGAGCGAGAAGCACTTGCGCTTTGTGATTGGTCCGGCGGCTTCTGGGATCTGTCATGTGTCCCAGGTACCGCCTTACCATTCACAAAAAGCACAGCTTCTTGCGCATGCGCACTTGGCACCCGGCTGTCATGCCCAGTGCCCACACTACAGAAGCCGGAAGACAGCGCGCCGCTGGATAGAGGAACAGGTAAGATAGAAGAACAACGAAACTTGGCAAAGAGCCACAGTATACAAAATATGATAAGAGGCAAAGAGCCGCATTCATTTTGGCCGGGAGCCGCACGTGGCTCGAGAGCCGTGTGTCCGTGTGTTTTTTTGCTATACAGCACTGCGCTAGTTTAACGGACAATTGCGTGGTCATGCAATATGGTACATAAATGAAATTTATGTCCTTTTTTTCACACAAATAGAGCTTTCTTTTGGTGGTATTTGATCACCTGTGCACTTTTTTTATTTTGGCGCTATAACCAGAAAACCTTTAGAAGAAAAAAAAAATTTTTGAAAAAAACAATATTTTCTCATTTTGGTCATAAAAAATATCCAAAAAAACTAAAACACCCTAAGCTATCTGCTGAGAGGCATATTGAGTCCATGGAAGATTTATTTTTTTTTTCACAAGTTTCTGGAAAATGACAAAACATTTTTTTTTTTTTTTTACACGAAGTTGTCATTAAATGATTTATTTCTCGCACAAGCCATGGGTATATGTGGAATTACACCCCAAAATACATTCTGCTACTTTCTACCGAGTATGGGGATACCCACGTTTGTGGGACTTTTTGGGAGCTTAGCCACTAGAGATGAGCGAATTGAACTTGGCGAAGTGGAATTCGTTTCGAATATTAGGAAAAATTCGATTCGCGCCAAATCCAAAAAATTAGCAAACTTCGGATGCAACGAATCGAATTTTCCCCGATCGGCCGATTTTTCATCCCTTCTACAGCCGGCAAAAAAGTGTCCTGCAGAGAGCTCCGCTTCTGTGTTTCTGACAGTTCTCTGACAGTTCCTTCACATTTGACAGCGGTTTGAAACATTGTATCTATTTGTTTCCATTTAGGATACAGATGTTTTTATTCAGAAATCAAATAGATACAATGTTTCAACCGCTGGTAAATGTGAAGGAACTGTCAGGGATGTGATAGGTCAGAAATAGCGGAGCTCTCTGCAGGGACACTTTTTGCTGGAATGGAATGGATCTTCTTATTTTCATCCTACTTCGGCTTCTTCTTCTTTTCTTCTTCTTGAAGATTCTAAGATGAAGCGGAGGCTCCTCATCCGGAGGCTTCTTGAAGAGGAGGAGGAGGACTTCTTCTTCTTCTTCTTCTTCTTTCTTCTTTTCTTCTTTCTTCTTCCTTTTCTTCTTCTTCTTCTTCTTTCTTTCTTCTTACTTCTTCTTCTTCTTTCTTCCTTCTTCTTCCTCTTCGGAGGAGAGGGGAGGAGGCGGGAGGCCTTCTTCTTCTTCTTCTTTCTCTTTCTTCTTCTTTCTTCTTCTTCTTTCTTCTTCTTTCTTCTTCTTTCTTCTTCTTTCTTCTTCTTCCTTCTTCTTCTTCTTCTTCCTCCTTCTTCTTCTTCATTCTTTCTTCTTCTGCCTTCTTCTTCTTTCTTCCTTCTTCCTTCTTCTTTCTTCTTCCAGGACTTTTCTTCTTCCTTCTTCTTCTTCCTTCTTCCTTCTTCCCTTCTTCTTCCTTTCCTTCATCTTCTTCCTTCTTCTTCTTTCTTCTTCCTTCTTCTTCTTCTTCTTTTCCTTCTTCTTTCTTCTTCTTCCTTTCTTCTTCTTCCTTCTTTTCTTCTTCCTCCCTTCTTCTTCTTCTTCGGAGGACGGAGGCTTCTTCTTCCTTCTTCTTTCTTCTTCTTCCTTCTTCTTCTTCTTCCTTCTTCTTCTTCTTCTTCCTTCTTCTTCTTCTTCCTTCTTCTTCTTCTTCCTTCTTCTTCTTCTTCGGAGGAGGCTTCTTCTTCTTCTTTCTTCTTCTTCTTCTTCTTTTTTCCTTCTTCCTTCTTCTTCTTCTTCCCTTCTTCTTTCTTCTTCTTCCTTCTTCTTCTTCTTCTTCTTCTTCTTCTTCTTCTTCCTTCTTCCTTCTTCTTCTTCTTCTTCTTCTTCTTCTTCTTCTTCTCTCCTTCTTCTTCTTCTTCTTCTGAAAGTTCTTCTTTCCTTTTCTTCTTCTTCCTTTCTTCTTCTTCTTATCTTCCTTCTTCTTCTTCTTCCTTCTTCTTCTTCCTTCTTCTTCTTTCTTCCTTCTTCTTCTTCCTTCTTCTTCTTCTTCCTTCTTCTTCCTTCTTCTTCTTCTTCCTTCTTCTTCTTCTTCCTTCTTCTTCTTCTTCCTTCTTCTTCTTTTAGGCTTCTTCTTCTTCTTCCTTCTTCTTCTTCTTCCTTCTTCTTCTTCTTTCCTTCTTCTTCTTCTTCCTTCTTCTTCTTCTTCCTTCTTCTTCTTCTTCCTTCTTCTTCTTCTTCCTTCTTCTTCTTCTTTCCTTCTTCTTCTTCTTCCTTCTTCTTCTTCCTTCTTCCTTCTTTTTCTTCTTTCTTCTTCTTCTTCTTTCTTCTTCTTTCTTCCTTCTTCTTCTTCCTTCTTCTTCTTCCTTCTTCTTCTTCCTTCTTCTTCTTCTTCATTCTTCTTCTTCCTTCTTCTTCTTCCTTCTTAGGCTTCTTCCTTCTTCTTCTTCTTCCTTCTTCTTCTTCTTCCTTCTTCTTCTTCCTTCTTCTTCTTCTTCTTTCTTCTTCTTCCTTCTTCTTCTTCCTTCTTCTTCTTCCTTCTTCTTCTTCCTTCTTCTTCTTCCTTCTTTCCTTCTTCCTTCTTCTTCTTCCTTCTTCTTCTTCCTTCTTCTTCTTCTTCCTTCTTCTTCCTTCTTCCTTTCTTCTTCCTTCTTCCTTCTTCTTCCTTCTTCTTCTTCTTCCTTCTTCTTCTTCTTCCTTCTTCTTCTCTTTCCTTCTTCTTCTTCTTCCTTCTTCTTCTTCTTCCTTCTTCTTCTTCTTCCTTCTTCTTCTTCTTCCTTCTTCTTCCTTTCTTCTTCCTTCTTCTTCTTCTTCCTTCTTCTTCTTCTTCCTTCTTCTTCTTCTTCCTTCTTCTTCTTCTTCCTTCTTCTTCTTCTTCCTTCTTCTTCTTCTTCCTTCTTCTTCTTCTTCCTTCTTCTTCTTCTTCCTTCCTTCCTTCTTCCCTTCATTTAAAGCTGCTTACGCTTCGCCACTCTGCCATGGGCCCCTGTACCACCTCCTCATGCTGCTGCCAGGTCCAGAGTGTGTCATGGGTCCCTGTTCGGCCTCCCATTGCTGCTGTCTCCATCACCACACTCTGCCATGTGCCACTTTCAGGTCTCCTCGCACTGCTGGTGGGTTCCATTTTGTCATAGGGTGCTGTATGGCCTCCCATTGCTGCTGCCTCCACCGCCACACTGTGGCTCCACACTCTGGTTTTGGCCCCATGACTGCCCAAATGAGTGAAGTGTGCGGTGATTCTAAGATCGACGGCACTCATCTGCATGTCATACTGACTGACGGTATTATTTCTCTTCCCCAGCAGACTCCAAGGGCA